AATCTCAAAACTGACGAGGGTCAACCCAGACCGAAATATATTTTCAGTAAATGTGGAACTAACATCTACTTATTTTACTCTACAGAGGTTTGGTCCATCACCATCACCGAATTTCAAATGTTCTCTTGGTTCTTTGTTTTAAGGTTTATTTTTTATGAGGGAGGGGGCTGGAGGATAAGGGGAGGCTGGGGGATAGTTTGAAAATTCTGTGGTAATGCACTAATGGAAAGGCGGGGTTTAAAAAATGCACAGTATTACATATTGGTTTGTCCGATAAACAATGGTACTATTACAATCTTATTTTAAAAATCGTCACATTTAAACTCTGTTAAGCTAGAATAGCGGTTATATCACAGTATTGATCAGATAAAGGGTTTAAATGGTACCAAAGTGAATCGTGATTGCCCCTTTGTAAATAGCGGAACACTTAAAGGGAAATACGAAAGAAAATCATCTTTCCTCAAATTGATGAGTTCACTGATCGGTCTCTTTACACCCGGAAATGAACTCGGCTCAGTTTTCAAGTTTTTCGGCCGGAAACGTGAAACCGGAAAACGTGAAACGTTTAGATTTCTCTAGTTTTCTCAAGGTTTGATAAGTAGATATTTCTGGAGGAAAATTTAGTTTTTTTTGACACTTAAATAATATCATAGCAAAGGACTTTCGTCTTTTCCACAAACTCTGAAACTCAATATCTGAAGACCTTTGATTTTTCAAACTATTAATACTGTCAGAGCTGGTAACTTTTGAATGGTGGATATCGGGATTACTGCTTGATCCACTCTTTTTCTTAATCTCGAGATTAAATAATGCTTGTACTCCTCTTGTTATAAATCTCCTGAGCTGAAAACTTTAGAATGGGATATCCTTAATCCCAATCTGTTAATTAATTTGGAGATTAATAACATGAGGAGAATAAGCATTATTTAATCTTGCGATTAAGAAAATGGGTGGATCAAGCATTAATCCCGATATCCACCATTCAAAAGTTCCCAGCTCAGATGAATTAACCGATCGGGATTAAGGCTAGTCCATTCTAGCTCCATTTTTAGCTCTGATCAAATAATTCCACTTTGAAATATCAAGGGTTGTGGTACGTCTGAATTTCAATTATTTTTTATATGGGTTAAGCCATATTTTGAATATTTCGGTGCAAAATTTGGTGTTAACGGGTTTACATGAGCCTAATATATAGGGACTCAGGGAATATAGGGGGGGGTGGA